TATATATATATATATATATATGTACTTATTTGGTTATATATAATATGTTTTTGCGTGTATATAGTTTTATTATTCTAAAGCTCGTTTGAAACAAGTGTTTCTGATTAGAAATAACATGGTTTTTGGTCACTTTTATTTTGTCTACTATTGCTGTTTTTGTTGCCTTTTTTATTATTTTTTGGGCGGATTTTCTGTTCTTGATGTATACTCGGATGTGGGAATTGCATTATTTGTCCTACTTATTTATATTTGATGTTGGTTGTATCTATGTGATTTTTTCTGCCTTTCTCAAAACTGTTTTTGAAGAAGTTGGTTAAAAGAGCTTCCTTAAAAGTGAATTGAAACTCGGGTAAGAATTTTGAACAAAATCTTTTTCAACTAAAAATATGCAACATTATCTTGGGTTTGATTTAAAAGAAACAATGCGAGTTGAAGAAGGAAACATTTTTCATTTATTCAAGCTACTCGTTTGAAATTTCCTTTTTTTAATCTACTTGACCTTTTTAAAGTTACAAATCAACTACCATGTTAACGAGATGCTAATCAAACACAATCGCTAACTGCTTTTATTTTAGTTTTTTTTGGCCAAAGACTTATGGATAAGAGGTAATGTTATTGGACGGCTAACAGCTCACAGGACAAGAGAAAGCGAATAAAACCATTTTAATTGAAGCAAGCATAGCATATTTTTAACCGGCGATATTAAATTCCAGAGCAATGCGACCCGCACTAAATGTGTGTACTGTTACCGACAAGCTGGCAGTTTAATACACCTCACAGGATCCAGTGGCCTATGTTGAACGGTAATGCCGGAAATTCAGCAACGACAAACATGAAGCGTAAAAGAGATGATAAAAATCCGGAACATAACAAATCAACATATTGCTAGTTGCTGGTAAACAATGGTTTTTGGCGGACAGTTTACAGCTGCCGACAACCGTGAATGCCATATTTAAAACACCACTTTTGATCATATTTTTATGTACAAGTAGTATACACATAATAGATCCGCGGAACTGACGGCATTGTTGTTCCAACGTTATTGCCGCAGAATTCAGTCAAGTAACGACTACTCAACTGACGGTGGTACTCTTGTCCATTGGAGTGGTATAAACTGATATTTCTTTGAATACATATATCCTTCTAGAGCTTTATCACATATCTCAGTTATTTGTCCACTGATCTTCAACCAAGCAAGAAACCGTTTTGAGTAGTTAAAACAAAAAAGCATTTACTTTTATTCGTTTACGTTACGTGTTTCGCATTTTTAAGAGTATTCCGTAATAAAAAAGTTGCACACTGTAGAAGGATTAAAAATGAAGTTCTATGCGATTTCTTCAGAAAAAGGTCATGGTGAAAAGCCTTACCGACAAATATTTTACCATAGTCAGTGAAGTCAGTGAACTTCTAGAAAGCGTTTAGCGCCTATTGTTTGATGTTTTTTTGTTCTTTTTTCCCCAAAGGCGTCGTGGATATTTTTATTTTTGGTTGGACAACAGTAGTGCACAGAAGACTTTCTTTTGCATTTCTTTATTCAACTAAAAAGTGTTCTATTGTAATACTCCTAAACTTAGACTTCATTGGACAATCTTTTGTGATAACGTGTATCTTCAGTGAACGCCCATTTCTGCCACCCTATGGTTGCTGTAGTTTCATTTATCCCTTTATCCGGCTGCTCAACTTTATTGTTGCTTTGTCAGTTGTACTACACATCTTTTGATTGAAAAAAAGAAAATTTGATTTCGAACTGCTAGCCATTAAACTGTCGGAGTTTCTTAAAACCTCAAGGTTTCCAATTGCATTTCTACTTCTCGCGACGTGTACTGTTCGTCTTTCTTTAGGAGTCATAATAGTATTTTAGTCTGTTGTTTATGTGAGAGTATGGGAGTGAAAGTATTGTTGTTGTTGTGATAGTAACTTTTAATTGCAGTTTTTAACACGAGGAATAGTAGGAATATTTAATTATGACTTCGTTATTTTTTCTTTACTGCATTCGACTATGAATGATATGTTCATGAAAATGTGAGGACGAACGCCGGAATTCTTGATTTTGAATGGAATGGTTATTGTGTGAGCTTTTTTGTGCCCACTCTTTCACCTATCTTTTTTTTTTTAGGAGAAGAGGGAGGTTTAGTAAATGACTGTATAACTTATGATGGGTAGTTAACAATTTTTGGATATTTGTAAATTAGGCAAACCGTTCATAATGACTGCTGAAAAAAAGGAGTTTTTTGTCAACTGATGTTCTCAACTTGTCATGAAAAACAGTAAGAATGCGCGAGGGAATGTGTCAATATCTTAGCGTAATTATCATCACTGACGTTATAGAGTTGTTATTAAACGGGAGGGGCTAAACCGTTGCGCAAACATTTGATGCTTTGGATTTTTTGGCTTTTGGTTTTTCCTTTGCCTTTAAAGCGACTCCCTTCTCCTTATTCAAGGATCTTCTCCTTGCTGTATGGCTTCTTTGTCATCCGTTCAGAAAGAATTCCTTCAGAGAGAAGGTGGTTAGAGAAGAAATAAAACGAATACGACATATTATACGATTTCTCTTCAAACTTTTGCCTACCGTTTTATTTGTTGAGCATACTTTTCGCGAAAAAGAAAAAAAAGATGAAAAAAATTCCTTTTTTTTTATCGCCGCCTCTAAATATTTATTTATCTTCACAGAACTTGTGGTTTCTGGGTATGTTTACATTGCTGTTCAGTTCAGGGATTTCTGGCTAACAAAAACGCATTATCTGCCCTTTTCCGCCCTTACGGGAGATTTATGGAAGCCGAATAGCCGACCCTAAATGGCTAACTAACTGGCTGACTGGCTGACTATTCGATCTCATAAAATCAAAAGATAAAAATAAAAGCATTTTTTGGTCTTCTAGTAGGCCACTTTGAGTGGTCGTATATATGTTTAATTTTCATGTACTTTTCCAGCTTTATCGTGTCATTTTACGTCTTCGATGAAAATAAGGCCTTTCCAACAGCCATGATGAGGCGTAACTAAGTATTGCGGTTCCGTCATTATTCTCCAAGAATAAAGTTGCGCAATATGTTTTAAATGGCTTTTGAGCATTATCTGCTGATAAAAATTAACGGAGTGTACAATGGTTTCCTTTCTTTTTCTTATTTTTGCTTCATTTGGTTGATTTGATGGAAGATAAATGGCGTACAATCATTAAACTATATACAACTTTGCGAATTGGTTTTGACTTTGCTAATTTAATCGTAGCAGTTTTCATGAGTGAAGATCAGGATTCTAGCCATGACTGTAGTAACTGTTATGAGGAAAGATTTAAGGTGTTATTGTCGACTTTTCCCGTATTAAACAACAGTACAGGAACGGTGGCCAAATTGCGGTGTCTACAAAGCGTTTTTTTAGACCTCTTCTCGATTTATTGCTATTGTGCGCTCATCCCAATGCAGTGGGATCGCGTTTTGTGTTGCTCACACTGAATGCAGCGTTTTTGAGAGTTGACGATAGCATCTAATACAAAAACCTATCAAAAATTAACCTCCGTTTTTTCACGACTTTACCGCACATTATGCATAGACTGTTTTGCGTTGAGAGCACTTCGCTAAGCAACAGTATGAAGACGTTTCTTTTATTCCTTCATCGTCTTCACCTTCTCTATATATGTATACTTACACAAATTTTTTTCTGTTTCATAAACTAGCCCCTTGTCTCGTCTCCGCTCTCAAAATCGCCGACAATTTTCTGCAGTAAAGCTGCTAAGCAGTATACTGCTTATAGTTATTGTATTGCTGAATTTATTTTATTTTCTTTTTCACACCTTAATTAAACAGATTAACTCTTGATTTAATCCTATTTCGTCTCGGTAAGGTGTTCTTCAATAAGAATAAGACGATGTCAGTATCATTGATTTGGTTTTTTTGTTGACCAGAACATATTTGAGCTGCGAGATCAGCCTACATTTAAATTGGAACGGAAGCTTTTCAATGTTGCTTTTTCATGCGTACTCGAGTGACCATAGTGACCTATTAGCGATTCACCAAGGCGCTGTCACAGTGCTTGGAGTCGTTCAGAGAAAACAACAGTAACTATTTTTGTTTTTATGCAGTAACTTATTGTTGAAGAGTAAGTATCAAGTATAGGACAAATTTGGGGAAGCAAAACTCTTTCAGAAGGAGTATGAACAAATGTACGATTTTCTTCTTTTGCTATGCTTTACTCAGCTAGTGATAGTGGTAAAATGCACGGAGAAATTGGCAAAAAGCAATTTGATGCGTATTTTTTAGGCAACAAGTTTCAAAACTTTTTACACGCGACCAATTATGCAACACTAGTAGTGAATCCTGAAACTAAGCTTTGTAAGTGTATTCACTGCAAAAGGTCTAGTAATTTGCTAGAGTGATAGATAAAGATAGGTCTTCTCCATTTTCCTTTTCTTTTTGTAAAGTGTTTGTCTTACTCATCTGTTTTATTTATTTCAGTAATTATAAAACATTTGCTGCAAATACATTTAACCTGTTCATTTGCTTTGTATTGTGTACATCGTTTTTTCTTTTACTGTTGTCAGTCAGTATATTTATATTGGTTGTAAGAAAAAGAACGTCTTGTAATTTGCATGTATGGAAAGAACAAAAAAAAAGTATTGCACAGAAAAAAGTGGATTTTTTTACAGTAATTTATTACGGTGTATTACAGCTAGACAACTGCAGAAGGATCTTTCTCTTGCTTGTCTAAACATCACTGTATTCTCCAGTAAATGGAGTTGGTCAATGGTTCACAGATTCTTGAAGAACAAAGTGGTAAAAAACTCGATGGTTCAACAGCACCTGACTTTTGTAGTTTCGGCAGTGTTACTTCATCGTCCTGGTACACAAAACGTCGACCCTACCGATCGGTGGCTTTCGGGACGTGGAAAGTTGGAAATGCTAGTGAAATAGGGACGCGGACAGGGCGTAATAATAAAGAGCTACTACATGCAAGGTGAGCACTTTATTAGTTTGTTGGTAATGTTTCTTGAATTGACGGCTTTTGTTTCCTTTTTTTTTCAACTTTTATTTCTATTTACAAAAAGATTTGTGTAATTCTTTTACTTTTTTGTTTGTATGGTACTTTTAAATAAATTTTCTATCTGGTTTCACAGTAATAAAAATGCCATTTATTCGGCTAAGTGCTTTGCGGACCATATGTGTTACTGCTTTTTCTTCTTGCAAAAATATCATGTGCGCTTCTCTGCTAGCTTTGGTTGATTTTTGAACCTTAAAGTCATAAATTTGACAAAAAATAAATCTGTTGGATTTTTTTTGGCTTTTCCTTCCTAAGTCTAATGCTCAAAAAAAGAATTAATCTGTGAAGACAAGCACAAAAAAATTTTTTTACTTCAAATGTAGAGTACATGCTTCACAATTTGAAAGAATCAAGTATTTTTTGAATAAGTTATATTACAAATAGTTTTAGTAACTTATGAAAAAAAAGCAGTGTGAAATGTTTTTTTTTTTCTGAGTTGTTGATCGCATTAAATTTCTAATTAGTAAAGGGTTCGGAAACAAATGAAAAATAAATTTAAACAGAAATGAAAAGATTAGACACAGTGATAACCTTTTAATTACGTATTGCTTTAGTTTCTTCTTCTTTTTGATGACTGCTTTATCAGAAATTGTGCCAAATGAAGTAGTCGATCAAAGATAATCTGAAGTGCTGTAAAACATTTGCATCATTTTCCAAGTCTTTTTCTGTTCCTTTTTTTCCCTATTTTTTTGCCATCGTCGGAGATGCTGTTGAAGAGCGCTCTGCTTCGTTGCGAGAAAAGAAGCTTATCTGTTATTTCCCTACAATTCTGTCTTTAAATGTAATCAAGGCAACTTTATTCATGCATATTTAACAGTTTTCAACCCCATTATTAAAAATGTTTTTTTAGTTTTCTAGTTAGATTTACAAACAACTTCATTTTTTTGCTTTTTTTTAAGTAGGGTTAACCAAAAAAACAGAAAATGTTTTATAAGCCTTGTAGAGCTGGAATATGTGTTTGGATTTTTAGTTCCACATTTCTTTACCTAAATTTACTTCTAAAACGTGCTGTTACTTTTCTTAAACGTTTTTAAGTTATTTGATTCCCCTTTGCACACATTGATCAATTTTCACGAAGCTAAACAAAATAACAAATGTAAATTAATGTTGATGCAAGTTTTTTCCACTTAAACAATTTGAATAACTAAAGGTGCAGGCGGAAACTTTCTCATTGCATTCTATAGCTAAAGGTTCGATACAATTATTGTAAATGAATTAAACAAATTAAGAGGATTTAAATGGTAAGTGGATACAGTTGCAACGTGTAATCAATGATTTTAGGGAGTAGTGACAGACCCGTTGAAAGGTATTCAGTTATGCTTCCGAGTTGTATGCTTTAGTGCTGCTGCAATGTTGGCATAATGTTTGCCCCCGATTTAAAATAGATTATTCAGTAAACAGCTAAGTCAAAAATGCAACTGTTTATTATGGTGTGTGGACAACTGATGCAGTTGATATTGTCGGAGCGCGAAAAAAAAAGTTATATTTCCAGTCACATTTGATGGGTTGTAGTTGAGTGAAGTTGTCGTTACTTTTGTATGTCAGTATATTTATACTTAGAGCACTTACATATTTTAATGGTGATTGTTGCTAGAATTTCTATGCTGTTGCAAAAACACATCTGTTCCGATCAAGAATCATATTGTTTTATGCTAAACACTCTGTTATTGAGTGAAAGTTTTGTTTAGTTGCAGATGGTATTACATCATCACCATATCACAGTCACTCTTTTTTTCATAACGTGAGACTGTAAGTTGGTATCTTGATTGGCATAAGCTTCATTAAGTGCAACAGTAGTGCAATATCATTAAGGGATGGTGAAGAGGAAATGATTGATGGTCATAAGATTTCTTCTTTCCGTTATGTTGAAAAGAATGAGAGATTAATTTTAATTGCAAAAATCATGTAGCATAATTGTTGCAGTTGTTCTTTTATTTTTGTTCTTAACTTTTAAAAGCACTGTGTTGAGTCGATGATGAGTGTTTCTGGTTTATGACTGAGTGTTTGCTTTTTTGTTTCTGTATGCAATTTTGAATTGAATATTTACGTCAGAAAGCAGTTTTTTCTTTGGAGTACTGCATGTAGTTTGAAAGGTAAAAAAATTAGGTTGGCAGGTATTGGGTAGACACACGAAAGGTTTACTGGTAATGTGAGATGTTCTGGTTGGAACTTGTAGTTTACTTAGGAAGTGGACTGAATGAGTGAGTCTGTGTTAAGCATATTGTGAGTAAAGGAACATAAAGTTAATTTAATCATCTGAGCCACCAAATGACTTTATCAGGTCCAATTTTGCGCATGCGCTTAGCACAGCAATTCCACCTGTTATCAAGCAAGCTGCATAGACATAGAGCTGCGACTGCTGTTATATCAAAATTAGAGAGAAGAAGAGTAGCTTTCTCCTCGAATTTAAACGAAATAGAACCATTAGAAGTCATTACCAAACAATGGATGATATTTGCTTTTTTGTTTCCAACGAGGTTTTTTAGTGAGTGTTATTAGTGGAAAAAAAGGGTAGAAATAACTGAAAAATGAGAGATAGAGGAGAAAGATTAAAAAATTTTTTTCAAAGTGTCTTGCAAAAGTATTGTTGATTTCTGTTTTTTTTCTTCCAAAATTCCAAGTGTTACGCATCAAAAATTATTCAGCTTTTTTGCTGGCTGCAAAGACGCCAGTAATGTTTCCTATATTTAAAAGAGTGTATGAGTAGCGTAGTCAATGGTGATGACGATGGTCGTAGTGATGAGGTAATATAGCTTTGATAAGCTTCAACAATAATGAACAGACAAAAAAAAGTTGCTTACTTTGTGAATAGGTTAGTTTCTTAGTGGCACTAATACAGAAGTGAACAAAGAATAAAAATAGGAATGAAAAGAAAGGCAAGAAATGATGATTATAAGAGGTGATCTATAAGCTCAATTTAAAATTTTTAATTTGCCTTTCAGAATCTTGTTAAAATTTTTTACGTCAAATTAATTAAGAAATTTTGCTTTTTTCTATTTTTTTTTCTTTCACTATTACTTCACCCAGCTTTAAATTGGTGGAAGAATTTGTTGTTGTTCAGTTACTGAAGGCACTGAATTCTCTTTCTTTACTTATTTAATTTTTTCTGCTAACGTTCAATCAATTTTTCTGGTTATACCGTTATTATTTTTAATGCTGACGCTGATGCTGCGTTTGTTATTGTCTGAAAGCTTGGTGTCTTTCTCAATTCTTGTTATCTGACGGAAATTTTCTTTAAATCTTCAAGTTAGGAGAAATAATTAGCTTCTAAAAGGTTACTTTGAAAAAATGGTTGAATTAAAGAAGAATTGTAAAGACGAAAAAGAATCACAACGCTCATTGATTTGGTGGTATTTGGTAAAAAGACAATCCGCAAAAGTTGGTTTCAACAAAATAATTGCTTGAGAAGAACTTTAAGGCAGTTTTGGATTAAATTCTTCTGTTTTTTTCCCTTCTGTTCCTTCCCTTCCCACTCTATTTCCGCGAGTTTTTTTGTTAGCTTTTGAGATAGAATGACGGACAGAGGAGAAAACGTTTGATAGGATTGTTTTTTTATTGAAAACTGAAAAACTTCTCTAATTTAGATGTGGTAGTGACGTTCAAGTTAAATATTTTTGGCCCCAGTTTTGCGTCATGATGAAGACCATTGTTTTTCCGGTTTCCCCTTGTTTTTTTTTTTTTTTTTTTTTTTTTTTTTTTT